AAATCAATAGGCAAGATGTGTGTCTTGGCTCTCTAAGAACTTGAAGAAATAGGCAGTTAACTATTAAAGTCATCGAGGCATGAAGCCTCTGTGGTATTTCTAATATACACTGGATGTCTTTGATTATATTTGGTGCTCTTTTGTCTTTGATAAATTTGGAAAGTGAATTTTTTCAAGGAATCAATCCATGTCTCACAAGATAGTATCAAAGAGTTACAATGTGGTCATTCCGTTATGTTTAGTGTCTGCTGTCCTAACCCCTCCTTACTTTGCTATCTTTTTTATTTATTCTTTCTCTTTACTTTATTGGTCTTGTTGGAGCATTATCAATTTATTGCTCTTTGAAAAGAACCAATTCTAGACTTATTGATTTTTATATACATTTTCTTATTGTTCATTGTATATTCATGTTCTATTTCTTCAGTTTCCTATATTTTCATTGCCTTCATTTTCAGTCATATTGAATGTAGTTTCTGTATTTTCCCTTTTTGTGACTGATGCTTCATCTCTGATATGTCCGTTTTTCTCCCCTCCATATATAATCAGATGTGCTGCACAATACAAATGATTTTGTTTCTTTTCTTTCCGTGTACTGTGTAGCAGAAACTCATGGACAGTGTCCAATACCCCTTCTCCCTTTCAGCTTTAGTAACAGAAGCCAAGTTTCATGTCTATGGGAAAATGATAGTGGACCCAAGCTTTTTGTCACCACTTGGGCCCAGTGTACTAACACGATGAATTCCTTCAGAGGCTGCTTGACATCCCTGCCATGTTCTGTTAAGTTACTCACAGGTGTGATGCGTCTGGGGCTCAAATGGCCCCTTCTCATTTTTCTCACTTCTCACAAGACTGAAAGACTTTCTAGTTGTCTCGTGGGACCTTTGCTCCCTGATATCTTTCCTATAATCATGTCTTATTACAGGAAATACGTTGTTCTGCAAATGTGATGATGGCTGTTTGTAACAGGTGACCTTCAAGCAGAGTATCTGAGAGATTCTACCAATTGACATGAAGACTTGGAAGAAGGCCTCCTTAGGTACTAATAGGACACGTCGGAAAATTTGAAGTGCAAGAACAAGTTGATCTTCCACTGCTGTCTGTCCTGGGGAAGAGCTATAATGGTTGGGACACTGACAGCCATTGAGGACCACAAGTGCCTGATGATGGAACACAAGGTAGAAATATGAAGTAAAAGTTAAGGAATCTGGGGTCAGCAATATTATTTGGAGTCACAGATCTCAGCTTCTTTTGACTATAAACTTTAACAGAAAATAAAAATCTAAACAAAACTTGTGGCTCTGCTCAACCATAACTGAGGTAGTCTCTAAAACACGAATGGGTCAAACAAATGATATGCAAATACATCATTTCTTCTTTGGATATGTAGTATCAAGTTGGATAAAGCTTTCAAAAATTATAATGTAATGGTTATAGGGCCTCCTATTTTACTCCCACTATGAATACAATATATTATCTTCTTACCACATTATTATATGTGCATAAATGCATTTCATCACATTTACTTAGCTACAGAGCCAGTATATTTAACTTATAAATCATAAACTCTGGCCTCAGCTAAAATCTAATTAATTAAACCTAGCATTCAAAAGGCTCCCCATATGGCCCTGTCTATCAAAGGGACTTACGATGGCAGTGCAGACTATAGCAGCACACAGGCTTCTCTAATAAGATAACCTTTACCTTTATGAAGCTGTGTCTTTCTGAAATTATACCTGACGCTTTTGCCTATTTTATGCACAAGAAGTATGCAACCACCTGAAATCAGCTATTTGAATTAACCTATAAACTTTGGCTATGCTTAAATATCAGTTTCCTTAACTGTTACTCTCATAACTACAGGTATTTTAAGTATAAACTGTTATTTTCTGAAAACATATAATATGAATGATGATGGTTTAAAAAAAAAGAAAAAGTTCTGATACCTGTAAGACTCTCGAGTTCAGAAAGAGGAGATAGACAGAAGAACTAAGACAAGTGAGAAACAGAAAGGAAACAGAAACACACTCCCAGCGAGCCTGGAGAGATAGCCTAAGAGCCCTGAACTGCCCACCACATGTTCAATACAAGAGACAAAGTACAAGGGGCAGGGTTGATGTTAACCAAAGTTCAACTCTAGGTCAAAACCCAAGCTCATAGGAAGTACCTGGGGAAAGACTTAAAATTAAGATGGAAACATCCAATGAGAGGGAGATACATGCAGAAGGGGGATGGTGGGACCCCAGCCCCAGGTCCCTGAAGGACAGGCATATTTTAGATACCCCAACACCACAGAGGGGATGGTGTCAGAAATATAAACATGAAGGAATTTTCTTACAGCTCAGGAAATCCACCCGATCCACACAGATGTGTACATATTAAGGACATGCAGAAAACGGAGAGTAATAGGATAACTATTGACAAAGTAAGACCAAGAGATAAAAACCTGCTTTAAAAAAAAAAGAAAGAAAAGAAACAACAACCATGACCATGAAATGAACCACACAACAGCATAAAATTGCACAGGGCTCAGAATTAGGCAAACTTGGAAATGAGGACAGAATTCAGAAAAGGAATCGGCACTTTAAAATCCATTCAGACTAAATGAGAAGGGGCATGATTATCAGCAGGCAGGAGAGAAAATGTCCCAATAAAAATAGATTAAAATAAAATATTCATCAACCTAATCAGATAAAATCACTAAATAAGGAGCCAATATCATTCTGATAAATGAATCAACTATTCTGCAGCATTCTTCAATCTTCTAAACACAAAACATCCAGCAGATCTGCAGCTTCACTGAATACATTGCTGACAGGAGTGTGTACACTATAATTCTGAAAGTGTTTTGTATATGCTGTAGAATTAAACTAATGTATGAAATCATTGATAAGTCGACAATCAGAATTCTCCTGGAGGAAGAGCAGGACAGTCCTCAATGAAAGCAGAGAAGAACCTTGTGTGGTGGATTAGCACATAAGTCACTGTGGAAATAATGATCCATTTCACACTGAACCTCTTGACCTGGCTTAGGACCCAAGATGCCCCACTGTCACACAGCACATCTGGCTCCTCGATCTTAGTTCAAATATCACTGCTGTCTGAAAGAGCTGGCGGCCTTGGTGGTGTTCAATGACCAGAGTGAAGAAACAAAACAGAAGGTGCACAGGACTCAGGACACGTGAAGCAGAAACACCAGCTACAGATTTAGCACAGCCCTTTCCTTTGTGACTGCCCACTGCAAAGACCCACGGCACAGACCAGAAGACCGCCGGGACTCTACACCAAGAGACATGAAGTGGACGGACCCGCTGCTAACATGAGCTGCACATCGCTGTGCTGGTGTCTCCTCCTTTGACCCTATGATCTCAGCCTGTCTGCCAGTCAGGTATAGGCTTGTGTCTATTTGTTAAGATTAAATGCAGACTTCCCTTCACCCCACTATTCGTATACCAGGAAAACTTCCACTTTAAAACATACATAGTTGGTAATAATTCTAGCTTTAGTCTACATATGGGGTTTAAGGGAACTGTAAGGTATTTGGGCATTTTAAAAGAAAATTTTCAAGGAAAATGCAAATATCTTACTGCCAAGAGGCATTTCTCAGGACTAATGCCCTGGGTTGGGGAGGGACCCCAGGCTGCTTGTTTTGCTGTGTTTCCTAGTCTATACATTCACTCTCCCATAGACTGATCCAGAAACAGCTGATTCCAGCTCTCATGGTATCTTCATTTACTGTGTTCATTAACTCCATAAGTATTTGTGAGCACTCAGTGGTTCAAGCACAGTTTTGTTCTGAAGGTACAGAACAGAAAACAGATACTACATCTGTCTCAGGGAGTTTACAGAACTGCCTTGGTACAGATAAAGATGCAGACATCTGTAGCATAATATGCATGGGGAGAGGCATGTGATTTAGAAATTGTTCCTAGGTAAATGTGGAGGCACTAGAGGACTAGGAGCTGGTGAATAACCGGATTAGAACTCTACTCTGAAGAAGTTATCCTGTGTGCTGAGGAAACATGAGGCAAGAAATGAAAAAATCCAAGGCACGTTTTCTACAGAGCTAGATAATGCAGACAGCCCCAGAGAACACGGTAGAGGTGTGTTTAAAGCACATAAGAATGCAGTGGCCACTTCTGCTCGGTGCCGGTATGTTATATTATCTGAATTCCTACAAGCAAATACATAAGCACGGCCATTAACCCCTGCCCTTTACCATTTATAGATGAAGAAATTCTGGCTTAGAGCAATTCTGTGATGTGCCTAATGGAACAAAGCTTTAAAAAAAAAGATATCATGTAAGTCAGGCCTGAGACACAGGAGAATCTGTTCATAAGTGACACCTTCCCCACAGCACTCAAACTCTGCTTACACACACTGAGATTGTGGGCCAAGGCCAGTGAACAGGGATTTTATTTCATGTTATACCAGTGCCAGGGGGTGCCTCAATTCTGAGACAGAAAAGACAATCCTAAGGACATTAACTAAAGATTCCAATAAAATCCAAAATCTTCCTATATTTTTAAGGTGTAAACGCTTATTTTATCTAACTTATATAATATTTATACCCTTATTTCATTATATATATATATGTATATGTATGGCTATTACCATATAGAATTATATAGAAGAACATGCCTCCATTTTATCACATATATACATATATATATGTACAGTATCATGAGATGACTATGATTATTATAAGAGAATATTTCAACACAGGTTCTTGGTTGGCATCTTTAAAGTTTAATAAAAATATAGTATTCAAACAATTACAAAAATTGTATTTATTAGTTATTTTATAGTCAATTTAAAATACAAATAAAGGCATCAAATTCTGATTATGTATCATAATATAGCATTTTTCTTATTGATCTTTATGTAGGTCAAGCATAGCATAAATATCACTTTAAGAACAGAGAATACAAAAGTGAAAATTATTCTAGAACTTACTTCTTGTCCTTAATATTTTTATCTCATTTCAATAGAAGGAAGCATACCTCAAGCGTTTCCTAACTAGGAAACCACGTATCCATCTTTGAACAATCAACACTGGTGAATTATGAGCCAGAATCCTATTAATCCTTGAAATTATCTGCTTGATATTTTTAATTTCATCCTCATATGTTGTACCCTGTATGAAGAAATGTTATTCAGTATTTTTTAGCATTTATTAAAGCAGTTAACAAAGAGATGTAAAGAAATTAATATAACATTCAGCAAAGTCTTGTCAACATAGTAAACAGTAAATATACTTTAGAATCGGTTAAATATAGAAACATTAGTATTTTCAAATAATTTCTATTTTCTGCACAATATGCAATATTCCTGAGAGTATCCTATATCCCAAGCTGTTCTCCCAATCTGGAAACATACATGAAACTGACACCATAATAATCCTCCTCTGTGGAAAGTAGTGGTGTGGACTGGTATCTCCTTAAACCTGAAGATGGCCTTTGCTATGCACTATTGTAAAAGGGGAGGACACGCGTGGAATTCCTGAACATGACACCACTCCTCAGAGCTGTGCAGCTTAGGTGTGCTGTTGGACACTCTCCTTTGGGAACTAACAGTGTCCTTTTGCGAATTCCCAGACTTTGGGTCACAGACTGATTCTGTCTCATTGTTCACTGACTAGTTAGAAACAGTCACTTTTATTACATATGTTATAATATATATATATATATATATACATATATATATATCATGTTTGGATATATATAATAACACATTAGAAATAAAGTAAAAATAAAATATTAGAAATAAAAATATTTACATTGTTTTAAGGTGCTGTTGGGTGACTCTACCCCCTAAGGACATGTGAACTAATGCCTACTGAAACCTGATAGAAAAAGACAAACATCCAACCTGGAGAACCAATGTCTCATCCTCTTACCTCAACCTCCTGGATGCAGGGATTACATCGTGAGCCACTGTGACCCATCCTTTAGCTTAATTCTTTTAATGAAGTACAATTATATTATGATATAGATATATTACTAAGATTGCTCCCTTTCTCAGTCTGAATTGTGGTTCTCTACAAACTTTAGACAGCTATGGGTTTCTTTTTGTTTATTTATTTTTCACCTCTATACCTCTATTTGCTAACCTCTAATAATCGCCTTCCTTGCTACATTTTTTTCTGCCTTACCTATGCAAATTACCCTCATAATTACACTTTATGTCAGGAATTACCTCTTAAATTACAGCCTTTAAAATGAACTTCCAGTTCCATTTCTGTGCTTATATATCAAAAGCTGAAACAATTATCCCTCCTACTTCAACCAATGCACACTTCATTCTGTGTTGTCTATAAGGTCATTAAAACCACTCTTCATCATGTCAGCTAAGCTAATAAACCCTTAATTCCTACTTCTTTCCCATCTCTTCCCATCCAGGAAATGGTTTAATTCTATCATCTCTCTTCTCTCCCGGAGTACTAAATCAGACCTTATAAGCCATGAGCAAACTTTAGTAATAACTCCTCATTTCTATCCCACTCTGATAAAAAAAAAAAAAAATTGAGAAGCTACTAAGCTAGGGTAGGCCTGGTACTTTAAATCCCCATGAGAACAAAGCAAAGCCCAATGTAAACAATAGGATAAACTAGACAATGTACCAATCAGAATCTGCCACATAGCCTCTGGCTGGGACCTTCTTTGTCCTAACTCCATAGCCACTCCATGAAATGCCTCCCTTCTCCTAGACAGAGTGCTAGCTGCTTGCACTCAGATGCTCCTCTGGCTGTGCATCAGGGGATGTCTATACAAACGCATTCAAATTTAAATGTGCAAAGCTGTGTTTTCTTTTATCACGTCGTTTTCTTCAGAACACAGAAAGACTTTTCTAGAATGCAAAACTCTTAAATGTTTCCCAGGGATTTTACAAGATGAAGTCCAGGCTCCCTGTCTTACATTTAACATTTTACTACTGCATTGTTGACATCTCAAACATGTCCCCTAGCCTCCAAGAACACTGAACCACTTTCTGCCACTCCAATTTGTCAAACTCTTTGAACACCTCTGTGTCTGCAAATGCCTCCTACTGTCTCAGTTGCTCAGCACCAATGCCAACACTTCTATTTGTCCAGAGATTTCTTGCATTTAAAAAAAAGTATCTTAAGTATAAATGCTTGTGCTTTCTTTTTATTTTCTGTCTTATTTTTAGCTGGTATTGAACAGTTTGAATATTTTTTAATTTCATACTTTGTCCAGTGTTCATGATCTTTTCCACTATGTCTCATTTCTCTCTCCTCCCCTCCCCTCTCCTCTTCTCTTTGCTTTTCCATCAGAGGCAAAGTCTTTCTCTGTAGCCCAGCCTGTTCTGCACCTCACTATGTAGCCCAGTGTGGATTCAAACCTCTCAGTCTTCCCAATATTAGCATTGTAGGCATGAGCCACCAGACCTAGCTTTTACACTCTTTCTTTATTGCATCTCTTGAATTTGCATTAATTTCTCTGTACAGTTTAGATCTGTGTATGATGCTCTAGATCTCAACTCCATTTTGTATTTTTATTTCCTCAATATTTTAATAAAGTAACTGAACAGTACTTCAGCCTCCAAGTCTCTAGATAATTACCTTATAAGATGCCAATAAAAATGGCATGATGGGGAAACCTACAGAGAAAACCAAACCAAACTAGTGGGAACTCATGAACTTTAGACCAATAGCTTTGGAGCCTCCATGGGACTGACTAGACCCTCTGCATAAGTGAGACAGTTGTGTAGCTTGATCTGCTTAAGGGGCCCCCTAGCAGTAGGATCAGGATCCATCCCTGGTGCATTATAGCTGGTGTTTTGGAGCCCACTACCTATGGTGGGACACCTTGAACAGCCTTGATTCAGGGGGAGGGGCTTGGACCTGCCTCTACTAAATGTACCAGGCTCTGCTGAACTCCCCATGGGAGGCCATATCTTTGTGGGGGAGGGAATGGGGGGTGGGTTAGGGAGAGGGAAGGCTGGAGAGGCAGGAGGAGGGAAGAGAGGGGGATCTGTGGTTGGTATGTAAAATGAATAAAAAAATTCCTTAATAAAAAAAGAATGTCTCTGTTGACTTACATAAAAGTCAAAACCCTTCAATATCTAATCAAGTGGAATCATCCTTTTTCCAAGGAAAAGCCACTCCCTCCATCCATGGAGCTCTGACTGACAAAAGCTGCCTGGCTTGACCCTTACTAGCTCTTTGATCTGGGCTAAAGAACATGTACATCCATTTCTGTGATCTGTAAGACGGAGACAGAAGTAGTGCCGTCTCACTGGGCCATTGATAAAGGACTGGGAGCAGCAGCTGAAACACTGTGACCATCCAAATAAGGTCACCTCCCAAGAGTCTTACGGCATTAAATAAAATGACATTGAGCCAGAATTTTGAGACTTCTGAATACATAATTATCTTTATCACAAAATTAACACAGAGAAGCACTGAGTAAGCACCTTGCTCAATATAATGTAAGCTCTGAAATTAATATATTAGCTAGGAACGTGACTGATTCTAAACTAGTCACTCTAACAAAAGGAATCATAATAAAATCTAGACAAACCATATATATTTTAAGCATAAATATCAATAATCCATAAGATAAGACAGATGATACAATAATAATGAAATGTTTATTCTAACAGCACGCAGAGTGATAGAGATTAGTGTTAATGTTGGCACAAAATATAGAGAGGCTTTGAAGAGAAAATAATAAGGCTTTGTCATATGACTCCCATGGAATCTACTTTACATGTTGACAATAAGAAAAGCTCTAGAAGCTAATTCCAAAAGCACATGCTATTCAGATTGCATAAAATTCTAAAATGGAACCATTTTCAACCAGTTCCTTATTCTAAGTAGCTTCTGTAGTTATAAAGTTTTCATTCCATGTGTATTGAGTCTGGAAGGCCTGCCACTTCTCTTTCTGTGTGAGGATTTCCATCAGAATCCCCTTAACACACCTCACTGTTTCTTGGAATATTTGAAAACTATAAAACATACTAATATAAGCATAAGTATTTGTTTCAAATAAAATAAAACCATACCTCATACCTATTTCACCTTTTTATTCCTTGGAAAACATATTCTCTTTTGAACAGTATGTTCGTTCACCATATAAAATGGTGAGAATGTGTGATTTCTCCACATTTACAAGAAAGACTTTTGTAGTATTTTAAATTAGTATTTCTAAAACTCTCTTGGTTAACACAGAGATACTGGAGAGTTCTGCTCTATTAATCACTGTAGAACTAGGGCACAGAATAAAACTGTCACAGAATCCACAGAAGGTACAGAATAAAGGGAGCATGGACTGTGGTAGGCAATAAGAAATGTGTGTTTCTTTTGAGATACTTTTAGATACATAGTTCACACAGCATTTCCAGACGTTCATCTAGCTTGTTACAGACATACTGCTGAATATCATTACATGGTAAGAGTAGATCAGCTTGGGGAACCCTTTTCATTTGGGGGTTTGCTGTGGCTGGAAGGGGGTTTGTCCCTCAAGAGTTTATATATTGAAGGTTTTATCCTAATGTGGCATGTGGAGGTGAAGGTTTTAAGAGCTGGTGCCTATAGGGGTCATCAAATCACCACACTGCCCACAGAAGGGACAGGGTAGCTTTGAGTGGATCACCGTGAAGCCAGAGTGTGCCCTCACCCAAGGTTCTCTGCTTTTCATTTTTAGTGTAACCTTCCACGTGTGCTCCACCATTCACTATGAGGTTGATGGCAGAGTTCCCTTAGCTTCCACAAGTGAAGTGAATAGGCCCATTATTTCATGAGTAGCCTGTTTCAGGTGTTTTGTTATAATGGTAAAAATTGAATGCTGGGTAGCTATAGAGAAACTGCTCAAAACATTCATGAAGAATTTATGTTTGCCAAGACTTAATCCTTTATTTCTCTGGGATAAATTCTGAGACAAGCAACTAGTGAATCACATGATAATTCCATGATCAGTTTCAAGAGAGACTAACAAAATCCTTCCCAGAGGTTTCTCTGTATACTTATAAGAATTTGGTGACAGTACTTATTTTTTTTATTTTAGCCATAATTTGTACTTAAAAATAAACAAAAGCAAAACAAATGAAAAGACAATCTGTTATTTAACTTGTATCCCCCTAACGGATAGCAACATTAGACACACATGTGCTCAGTGTGCATCTGTGCACCTCTGTGATGAAAAGCCACTGACAGTTTTGGTGACTGTTTAGCAGTCGTGCTTTGTGTTCAGCTTTGAAAGTTGCATATGTCCCACAGATTCTAGGCCTGGATCAAACATTTCTTTCAGTAAGGTGAAGCATTTAACTGTTCGTGCCCTTCTTTAAGTTGTTGAACTTCTAGCCTCCAGTATTCAAGAATGTAAAAAAAAAAACAAAACTGACAATTGTGTTCACAGCCATCGCCGCGCCGCCGCTCCCTAACGCCAGCGCCACCTCTTGCTTGCAGAGCTCCAGCCGAAGGAGAAGGGGGGTAAGTAAGGAGGTGCCCATACCATGGCTCCTACAAAGCAAATCCACCTCCACCGGTGGTAAAGCACCCAGGAAACAACTGGCTACTAAAGCCGCTCGCAAGAGTGCGCCCTCTACTGGAGGGGTGAAGAAACCTCATCGTTACAGGCCTGGTACTGTGGCACTCCGTGAAATCAGACGTTATCAGAAGTCCACTGAACTTCTGATTCGCAAGCTCCCCTTCCAGCGTCTGGTGCGAGAAATTGCTCAGGACTTCAAAACAGATCTGCGCTTCCAGAGTGCACTATTGGTGCTTTGCAGGAGGCAAATGAGGCCTATCTGGTTGGCCTTTTTGAAGATACCAACCTGTGTGCTATCCATGCCAAACGTGTAACAATTATGCCAAAAGATATCCAGCTAGCACGCCGCATACGCGGAGAACGTGCTTAAGAGTCCACTATGAGGGGAAACATTTCATTCTCAAAATTTTTTTCCCTCTTCTTCCTGTTATCAGTAGTTCTGAATGTTAGATATTTTTTCCATGGGGTCAAAAGGTACCTAAGTATATGATTGCGAGTGGAAAAATAGGGGACAGAAATCAGGTATTGGCAGTTTTTCCATTTTCATTTGTGTGTGAATTTTTAATATAAATGCAAGATGTAAAGCATTAATGCAAGCAAAATGTTTCAGTGAACACATTTCAACAGCTCAACTTTATAACAATTATAAATAAACCTGTTAAAATTTTCTAGACAATGCCAGCATTTGGATTTTTTTAAAACAAGTAAATTTCTTATTGATGGCAACTAAATGGTGTTTGTAGCATTTTTATCATACAGTAGATTCCATCCATTCACTACACTTTTCTGAGTTATCCTACATGCAAGTACATGTTTTTAATGTTGTCTGTCTTCTGTGCTGTTCCTGTAAGTTTGCTATTAAAATACATTAAACTATAAAAAAAATGAAGAAGTTCTATGATTTGAAGGAATCCTGAAAAATATATGCTAATGGCATTTGGTGATTGGACCACTGAGAGGGATTACTTCATGAAGTCTCTGCCCTCTTGAATAGGTTTAAACTTTAATCTATTATGGGATAAATGAATTAATGATTTACCAGTGAGATGGCTTTGCTACCAAACTGAGCTATCTAGGACATGCTCACTCTCTTGTGATGACACCACTGTCACATTCTTATGCACTAGGAGGGCATCACCACACTAACTTTAAATTTCACCCAAACAGCAAGTAATATGCCTTGGACATGGTTTTCCTGACACTTGCAACAGTTTGTGACTGGGGAAGCTTGCTTATCAGAACTACAGTGAGAGGAGATGATGGTAGAATGCTTAGAAGGTGTGGATTTATTGTGAGTAGGTGACTCATGTGATTAGCCTCAGAAGGAGTTCTTGTGGAACATTCCTTAGTTCCCACGTTGTTAGAAAAGAAGCAAGCCTGGCCCCCGAATCTCCATGTCTCACTGTAATTCCCATGCTTTCTCCTCCTGGTTTTTTTTTTTTTTTTTTTTTTTTGGTGCCATGCTTTTATTCAAATGAAAGGGGCACTACACTGCACCAGGAACTAGCAAGTCCAACAGCACTGACGGCACGCATCCTCTGCAGTGCTCAGGAGTGGACAGGAAGCACACCACACGCTGCACGTTGCCCAACAGTGTCCATGAAGTCACGGCGAGGAAGGGGACTTTGGCTTTGAACAGCCAAATAAAAACGGCAACAGTCCTCCAAAAATCAAACTGAGAAACAGAGGAATTAAAAACTTCACAAGTTGTGTAAAGCAGCAGAAGTTGACAGGCCACACTGCTTACCATGACAAGGATTTGGCAATTTAAACTGACTAATTATCATGGTGATCTGACCTCCAACGACGACGACAACGATGACAACGCTTGTGGTGTTTCAGTAAGGTTGACAGAAATCTCCAAACTTTATGGAATGGCATATTTTCATTTGTATAATTTTAAAACATAATTTAAAAAGCTGCACCATAATAAAAAATCTGCAGTCTAAAGAAATATATCTGTATTCCTCTTGCATTAATAAAGTAAAATATACTGAGAGCAATGAGCTTCGTGGCAATATTCACACCCTACCTTTAGACACTAGACATTCAGTTCAGCTGCTGGCTATACAGAGACAGGTGTGGTCATCTGACCTCACTGCAGCTAAACCAAGGGCAGCACCTGCTTTTCAATGTACACTCTTTTAAGCTGATTGCTGATAGAAAAGTGAAGAATGGGCCACTGTAACATCTCAGATGGAATGTGAAAAGGTCTGGAAAAAGGAACTAAACCATCATCTTCATAAACTGACCAAAAATTCATCAGGAGTGTAACCATGCCTGATGGCTTTATGAAATACAGATTTTAAGAGAAAGGACTCTGAGCAGAGAGAGAAGAGGAAGAGATGAACCTACATGTGGGAGAGACACCATAGGACATGGAGAGGAAATAGGAGGTTCAAGATGGGAGAGAGGTAAAAAGCCATGAGGCAAAATATTAATATAAATGGGTTAATTTAGGATATAAGAGCTAGAGGGACAAGCCTACACTATAGGCCGTGCTTTCATAATGAATAAGTCTCCAGGTTTTTGTGAGCTGCAGCCCAAAGGAAATTCTGACTACATATGGTACCCAATGTATGGCTCAAATATCCAAACACAGGACCTGAGAAAGCTAAGAAAAATTCTAGACAAGGAGCTAGATGTGGGTTTCTAGTCCTACAGTCTCTCAGGCAGGCCAGTGCTCTGTGTACAGAGGTGTGGCTACCAGCCATCGCCTGAGGGCTGTAGCTAGCTCCCAGCACCTTACGCTAGCTCCATTTAGACCTTGAGCCACAAGACAGCTGACATGGCAGTTTAAGATTTGTCTCACATGGTCATGCTGTTCATGTACCAAGCACACAGTATGATTGAATGGTTATATCTGCAGCCAGTATAACAGCAGTGTTCACTGTACTAAGAAGGTTAGGTTCTTCATCTGTGACCCCCTGCTTATCTTTCTGTCTCCCTCCCTAGACTTTTCACTACTTCCTTAAAGGGACCTCTGCTATTTTGACCATGCTTGAAGAGATCACATACACTGCCACCATAGAGCAGAAACTAAGTGATTCTTTGCCTTGAGGGTGCAGGTTAAGACACCAGACTTAAATGCCACCTCACTTTTATTTTTTTTTTAATTATTACAAAATAATTACCAAGCCCAAAATGTATTCAACTAATATTGAGAAACCACGTTCTTACTAATAGTGTTTAAGGACCATAGGCAGTTACAGTACAACCTCGCAGCTTCGCATTCAGCTTCCTCAAGGTCAGTGTCCATTTGCCCCCTCCCAGCCTGATCACTGTCCACATTAATTCCTATTCTTCCTCAGATCCCCTCTATAAATGCAGCCATGTAACACATAATTATGTTTGGTCAATGACAGAGCCCATAGGTAGTGATGGTCTCATGAGGTGACATCACCATGTTGTGTCACAACTGTCTTAATCTGTTCAAAATGCCACGGTGTTTGACAGTGGTGGGGCCACCTAGCAATCCCTCAAATGCACTCCATTGTTTATATCACATTTGAAAATATTCTTTTGGAAATCCATGATCAGACTCTGTCCTGTTTTTAATTAATTTTTTTCTAAGAGCTGAAGAGTTAAGCCTTCCTTCCAACTTATCAGCTCTAAAATTCAAATGCTATGAAGAATGAATGATTATCTTTTTAAATCTACACAATAATGTGTAACCTCAGGGTTTCAAGTTTTCCTAAGAATGTTCAGTATTTTATGTCAAAAAACATTTGGTTATACCTATTAAACTAAATCAACTGAATAACAAGTATTTTTACCCTCTTCCATTAATATAAATTGTGTCTTATGCCATTTCAAAAATAAAAAATAGTTTCCATGAAAATCAACATATATCAAAATAAATATCTTTCAGACAAAATGTATTTATATACAACTTGATTTTAGATTGGCATGTTTGCATAAGAGGCATACAAACTTTTATAAACTACCAGATATAAAGTCCATTGCTAATGTTTTCACCAGTGAATATTTTATAAAAGATACAAAACAATACCGTTAAACAGATTATATATTTGAGTATAGTATTTAGAGCTAAAATTTTATATCTAAGAACTAAAATTTTGAAGGAAACATTCATTGAGTAAGTTACCTTTACCAATGCTGGGCAAAGGTTAAAGAATAGCCTGTGGTTGAACGTCTTAAATCTCTCCGGAAGATGCCAGTTCTGAATGATTTCTTCATCAGATATAATGTGATGGTCCAGGGCTTTGAGAGGCCAGATACTATTGACAAGAACATGCCTGTAGCCCTTCTTAAGACTCACTGGGCAGTCAAACATGGTCAGCCCTATAAGGCTTGCACACACATCCAACACGCAGATGTTCTTCAGCTTGGCAAGGCCATTGTCATGAAGGTAGAGGAGTTTTAGGTTCTTGAGTCCACCCCAAAAAGTTCTATCTGGAAGAGTCTTTATCTGAAATAATATTTAAAATATGTATGATTCATAAAATCTGCAAGGAAAAAATGGTGAAACATTTAATATCATCTAAACTTCAGTATTTTGCAAATGGCAAGTGCCTAATAAATAAAACCAGAATCTCCAATTATCCAAATAATGACTGCACAGTCATGATGTACTAGGTATTTAAAATAAGTTGCAATTAGTAACATAATGAATATATATACACACTCACAGGTATGTATATATAGAGACCTTTCAGTGAAAAGTACTTAGTATAATTCCAAATGAGGTTCCTCACATAAAGAATTGGGGGCTCAAAAATATATTATTGTAATCTAGACTATGCATTTAAGAAGTGAAAATATGGGCTGAAAAGATGGCTCTGTGGTTAGGAGCTCTCGCTGCTCTTGCAGCAGACCTAACCCCACACTTGACAACTCACAACTACTGATAACTTCAGCACCCTCTTCTGGCTTCCGTGGGCACCTACAGTCACACACACACACACACACACTCACACGGAGTCACACACACACACACACACACACACACAGAGTCACACACACACACATATACATGTAAATAAAAACAAAATAAATCTTTAAAGCAAAATAATTTAAAAGGAAGTGAAACACAGATTGGGGAGATGGCTCAGTGGTTGAGAATGTCTGCTCTCCAGTGACTCATGTTCAATTCCCAGAACCCACGTGGGATAGATGACAACCCTGTAACTCCAGATTCAGGGAATTGGGTGCCCTCTTCTGGCCTTTGTAGGAAGCTACACACATTTGGTACAGATACAGAGAAACTCTATACATACATAATTTAAAAATAAGAAAAGCACAACTTATACATTTTTATGTATCATTTAAAGTTTTAGATTACATGGTGTATTTTGAGTCTGTTGGCCTTATTTGTATAAAATTTTAAGCTTTTCTTTATATTTTCAATGGCTGGAAAGAGTGTTGTAGGCTAACAGAATAAGTTCACTGACATGCAGACAGCAGTCAGTGCTTACCTGGTTTCCATGGAGATCAAGTTTGATGAGCTTTATGCAGCTCTGTAGTGGCTGGATGTCAGTAATGAAGTTGTTAGAGAAAATGCACACTCTCAGAGAGATGCAGGACTGCAGATTCTCCATGGACTTCAGATGGAGGCCATTGTACTTTACAAACACAAAGTCTTTCTGATCTTCTATTATATTTTCATTGTAGTGACTCCACTCTTCATGACTGGTAAGCTCTTTTGTGATTGTTCCATGAAACATCTAGGAAAGCGGGAGATAAATGTTTAAGAATGACCCTGGGAGCTGAAGACTTGGCTCAGCAATTCAAATGACTTGTCACTCTTTCAGAAGACCTGGATTTGGTTCCCAGCAACAAATAGCAGCTCAAACTGCCCACATCTTCAGTTTCAGGGGATGTGACAACCACTTGGTGACCTCCAAGGATATCCACATGCAAATGCAATATACACATACACAAAGCACAGACAAAGAGATACACATAAATATTTAAAATATAAATATTTACAAAGAATTACTTTCAAGTTTTAAAAATCTACATGAAATGAAAATACAATATTATCTACTATATAGTAATGATAAAAATGGATAAAATGTCATGATATTTTAATTATGTTAAAATATGATTTTATTTGTATGTTAATAAATAAAGTTTGTCTGGAGATCAGAGGTCATTAGCAAGCCAGGAATAGAAGTCAGGTGGTGGTAGCCCACGCCCTTAATCCGATCACATGGCAGGCAGAGTCTCTGTGTGGTCAAGGACACAGCCAAGCATGGTGACCCTTGAGTTTTTAATCCCAGTACCAACCATAGAGACCAGGAGGTCTGTATAGACAGGCAATGGCAAGGAAGTCATATGGCTAGGCTTAGAGCCAATGACAAGGCAGAACAGGAAAGCAATAAAACACAAGACACACACAAAAAGATCTCTTTCAGAGAAAAAAAAATGACAGCAAATGATAAGCTAAAGGGAGTCGTGGCTATTGCTCTGATCTCTTAGGCTTTAACTCTGTATTTAGCTCTATGTTTCTTATTTAATAAGAGCATTTAAAAATGTGTCTACACTATGGGTAATTTCAGATTTCACAGAAGGCAGTTAGCCATCGTCTTCAGGAGGATATATAAGCATAAATTATCTACCTGGTGGCTTTTTTTGCAAGATAAACTATCCTTCCCATTAGAACCAGCTTCTACCAATAGCAGATAAATCTACATGATCCAGATAAAAATAAATGTAAAAAATTCATTTGAAGTTGATATAAAGACAAAAGATACTTTAATATCCTGGCCTAACACTATAATCCACAAACTCTAAAGTCACCTATAGAATTTATGAAAAGGCGATTCACGAAATCCTATCTCTGATTTAGTGTATCAGGATCCCAGAGCTAAGGATCTTTTAATCCAGCAATTCATGAACATTCTGACAGAGATTAGCCCAAATTACAAATGAATCGCCCTTGCAAATTTAAAGCCACAACCTGGTACAAGTCGCTGTATCTCTGTAATGCAGTAAGTTCCGTGGTCCCTGAAATGCAGCCTGTATCTACATTGTGCCTTATTTGCTTGTTTTAATTGTACAACTATGGAAGCCTCTCCCTGGGTTTTTCTTCTAAACGCCTACTTTTTTCCATTTCGGTGTAAAGCCTGGCTACCTTCAGATGATGACAAGGGTTTGTGAGCACCCTGTATGCATGTTCACAACTGCCGAGAGTTCACATGTGCAAGTGCCCTGCTGTGTTCATAAAGCACTGTTTCACTGCAGTCGTCCACAATGACTCTCACCCTGCCATAACCCCTCAGCCTTTGGAGAAGGGTGTAGGATAGGTGTACCATTTGTGGCTGAGTGGTGTTTTGTATCTTTTCCTCTGTATCTTAACCAGTTGTGGGTTTCTGTTAATTGACATCTACTGCCGAAAAAAGTTTCTCTTATGAGGGATGAGAGATGCACTAACCTATGGTATAATAGTGTCATTATGAGCACTTTAATACTTTCCATTTAGCACAGTAACAGTACTAGGTTTTCCAGTGAAACTCATTTTAGGCTGTGAATGTGGCTCAGTAGACAAACACTTGCCTAGTATTCACAGGGACCTCTTTTGATGCCCAGCATTTAATATAACTCACTTTTAAAACATACAGGAACATTACATTTCATAGATATAGCATGTTTTATCAATCCAATCACCCATTAAGCAGATTTTAGCTGACTTAAAGCATGGGAGATCACAAATAGAATTGCCACAAGCAAGTCTTCTCATGTGCATGTTACATTTCATTTGGATAAATATCAGGTAGTTTACTTTCTGGATCATATAGTATGCTTTATTTTGTGATGAACTACCTTTGTCTTTGGAATCAGCTCTACTATTTTGTGTTTCCATCAGCAACAAGCTGAGAGAAATTATTCCTATATATTCTTACTAGTACTTGGTGTGTTGGTATCTTAAATCAAAGCCAGACAGATAGCTATATAGAGGTACCTCACTTTTTGAATTTGTATTTCTTACAGATACATGATGCTGAACATTTTTCTCTATGTTTGTTTGCCACATGAGTGTGTCCTTTAATGAGGCTTTTTTTTTTTTTGGCTCCTTTGTCCATTTTTTGGTTGGCTGCTATCTTACTGTTGAGTTTGAGAACCTTGTATTATTTTGGATATTAACCTTTCATCACGTGTTTTACAGTGTTTTCTCCAAGACAGGCACTAGACTTGCCATTTTCTTAATTTTCCTTTTTCTTCCAACACATAAAATCGTATTTTAAAACGATGCTTTATATAAACAGCATCCATCCATATACAGCATCAAGATTCTGTCTCTGTATCCAATTGAAACTGACTTTATGCTTCACTGTATCAGTATACAATTAATACATATATAGATGTGTGTAATTTTATATAACCATATCACTGTATATAGAGCTTTTATTTCAAATTATTTATCATACTATTCCATCTTTTATTTTGAAACATATTTTAGACATTGTAATATAGTTATTCAAACAGATTTATCTCTCTTTTTTTGTTAAAGTTCATTGTGTGTGTGTGTGTGGGGGGGTCATCCATTGAACATGGCTGACTCATCAAAGGCCACAGCCTTAAAGAAAATTGACTTACCCTTTCCCAGCAGCTATGAATTATCCATAGCTCCTCGGCTAGGGGTAGGACTTGTACAAATTATAACAACTGAGCTGGAAAATATACCTACTGGTACAATAGGGAACAGAATTTCATGGGGGTAATCAACAACTTTCTGATTTGAATTTCAGGATTTAAGTCACCCTCCATAAGATAGAGCCCATACCTGACACCCAGAACTAGTGGCCAGATAGGTCATAAAGCTCTCCTTAAGAACCTACTACTGTTAATCTGCTAAATAGATACAGCATTAAACTAACTCCTGATGGTATAGCACTAGACTCATAGATCAGTGCATTTTTCAACGTTTATCGGAAGTTTCTTTTTGCAGTAGATAGCGACTAACATAGAGACTCACAACTGGTCAATGTGGAGAGAATAAGACTGCACAATCCTCAGCTTCTTAAATTGCTCCTCTATATTACACCATTTCATCCCAAGACTCAGGGATTATTGTGGAAGGCACGTAGAAAGAGGGTAAGTGCCAGACACAACAGGGAAGGTGCACTTATATCACAGCAGTTGTGACAGCATGCACAAGCTGCACGAGACCTGCACAAGCTCAAGAGAAAGCTAATTCCAGCATGGAGAGGGAAGCTGGGCATGATGTGCCATGCGATATTTTCAAATTTCACTGTAGTGGTTTAAAAGAAATGGTCCTCATGCGCTCATAATGAGAGGCACTATTAGGAGCTGTGGCCTTGCTGGAGTAGGTGTGGCCTTGTTGGAGTGTGTTACTGGGGGTGGGCTTTGAGGTCTAGCAATGCTGAGTAGGACAGTCTCTTCCTGCTGCCTGTGCATCAAGATGTGAACTCAGCTCCTCCTCCTGCACCATGTCTTCTTGTGTGCCACCATGCTTCCTGCCATGAGCATAACATACTAAACCTCTGGACTGAAAGTCAGCCCCAATTAAATGTTTCCTTTATAAGAGCTGCCATGGTCACGGTGTCTCTTCATAGCAACTGATACCCTAAGACTTTTTGTTTTCCACTTGTAAGAATGTGTGGTACTCTAATATGTAGGACCTTTTGACTTTTATTATTCCCTTGGAATTTCAACCTAGTTCCACAGTTGAAAATTAACTCCATCTGTATTCTAACAACTCACAAAAACTTCTACCATACTAGTCTTGATCTCCAGAACTAGATACATAATGCACACAGACACAAACAACAATTTCCACTATATATGCACACATGTTTGTTCTATATATCTAATATTAAATTAGATGTATCCTCTTACCATTTCACTATGCTTCCCCATATATAGCTTTCCTCATCTCATTTGCTGGCCATTTCATCCTCCATCAGTGGACAGATGTTGTTGCTTTTGCCTTTAGAATGTTTCTAGAATCTAAGCAATTTCTCACCATCCCCCATTATAATCTTTTAAATTTCCACCAATTCTTTCCTGTTTGCACTATTTTAGTAGCCTCCAAAAAGGCTCTCTGCTTGTATTCTTGTCCTACACACTGACACATTTCAGTGTGTCCCCTTTAAACACAAGGGAAGTCTTATCAAAACCCTGGCGTTACTCCAACTCACTCAAAAGTAGAAATCACAAAATCTGACTTCTACTGCTGTTACTCAGACCCTTTAACTTTCTGTATTTTCTAGATTTTCTTCAGCAAGAATGTACTGTGAAACAATAATCTTTCCCCACAAATGTCTCTACTTTAAATACAGAATTAAATGCTAAAGTCAAGACTAAATAAAAGACTAAGGTTACTCAGAAACTTAGTCAAGTTCATAGGAAATTGCTTTGCAGAATTCTGAGCAAGACTTTAATGAAGAGAAACTTCCCAAGCCAAATTGTAGAGGAGGATAGGATTTCTGGGTGAGATTGAAGTCTTCCTTAAATGTTGTTACTTACTATATGCTATGTGTAAGAATGGAGAGATTAATCTGGAGAACTCATTATAAACTAGGCACTTTACAGGAGAAATACATATTATCAGCGGATGAAAGCATGTTCAACGGGGCCGACTTCCCACTATCGGGCACTATTGGGCATCCTAACCTACACCTTTGGTAGAACCCGAGAAGCAAGGGAACACAACTGAGCGCCCTGTTGCTCAAGTTCGAGACTGTGCCTGAGAGGCTGGCCGACTGAAGGAAGCAGCGTGGTCTGGTCCGACATACAGCATCCCACGTGGGCCGGACCTGGGGCGCAGGGGCCCCCTGAACCCGAGGTTCTGGCGCCTGGCCTCCTTGAGAGTCCTTCTGACAGGAACGGAAGCTGTGTGCGGGCAGGTCACCTCAGCGTCCGGGTGATGTTCCACTGTGCTCGGCGGGCCGGTCCCCTCTGGCACGCCGCGGGCTGTCGGGCGTGGACAGGCGGGAGCCGACGGCGCAGCCCCACGCAGCCCGGGCACAGCTAGGTGCCCATCTGCACACAGAGCGTTGCCCCGGAAACATGGCCAGCGCACACTCATGGCATCCTAGCTTTTCCAGTCTCCCGGAGACTCCAGGACGCGGTGACGTAGCAGCGCGGCCGGGGCGGGGCGGGGCGTGGGACTCGGAGTGCGCACGCGTACTGCGCGGGCTCCCAGAAGTCGGGCCATGGCGTCTCTCCGCGAAGCGACCCTGCGGAAACTGCAGCTCTTTTCGGAGATGAGAGGTACCTCGGCGGAACCGAGTTCTCTGGCCCCGTGCACGGAGGGCGCCGTGCCACGGACCCCTCGCCGCTTCCTGTCCTCTGCTCCTTCCTGTCCGCCCTGGCCTTTGCCCTTCCCGTCTCCCTCTGCCCCTGCCCGCGTCATCGCAGGTGTCAGGATGGAACAGTAAGAACTCGGGACGTGGCTGTGAGGCCGTGACTAACGCACCGCCCAGCTCACTGGTTTGAAGCCATGCTGCTTACAGAGTCTGAAGTAGATACCGTGTTTCTTCCCTTTGCCCCAGTCCCCTGCATAACTCACCAGCTTATTCCTGTTTAAACTCCAAAATGAAGCCAATTGTGACTTTAAAAGTTCTAAGTTTAAGTTTGCCCTTTAAAAGAAAAAAGCACAGATGGGTGGGTGCCCTTGTCGGAACAGCTGCCTGATAAAACTGGTGTTTGTGACTGTCTAAAATGTAGGGATTTATATTTGGATATCAGTGTTGGGAATTATTAAATCCTAGGTAAGGAATTCCTCCCTCTCCTCCCTCCCTCTCTCACTTCCCCCTTCTCCCCCCCCCCTTCTCTTTTAACTTGTTAAATAAAAGGTCCTGTATCTGCACAAGACACCCCAAGACCAAGTTCTCAGCACAAAGGAGATTTGTTTGCCCCAGAAGGACAGAGGGCAGGGAATAAGAGACAAAGACGGGAGACAGATGATGAGGGAGAAGGGGAAGAGAACGAGGGGGAGGGGCAGGGGGAGGAGGGGAGACTGACATGGCCCATAGGCTAATGGCAGTTTATAAAGGTAAAAGAGGATAGTGTTAGAATGAGGTGTTTGATTTTGATTTCATTTTGATGTTAATTAGGGTAGCCAAAAGGGGGCTTTTGATTGCTGGACTTCAGTACTTTGACAGCTGGATCTTGATAGTCTCAAGGGGGAGGGAGAGGCCAAATGAGAGACTAGACAGACCTTGGTGACTAGCTTTAGGAATGTAATCTAATGGTTTTTAGCAAGGAAGAGGGAATGGGGGAAGGGCAGGGCCTGTCAGAGCCATGCTTGCCTTACTCAGGCCAGGTAGAGCCCCTTCATTCAAACCCTATTAATATTTTTGTTGATAAAGGAGAGGTTCCCACTGTTGACCAGTGTAGTTTGTCACTTAATGAGTTCATTGGGGAGTTTGATCCTAACTTTTGTGTGGTATTCTGATGGCCTATGTAAGTTTAGTTCAGTCACGGTAAAGCCATAATAAATAGTAAGAGCTGAGTCTGGTGCTGCAAGACTGTACAGCTGTCTACTTGGGAGGCTGAGGCAGTGGGGTCAAGGTTCAAGGACTGCCTGGATTACAGGAAGAGTCAGGGCCAGCCTGTCAATTAGTAAGATACTCTCTGAAAAACAAACGAAGAGAGGATTGGGCATATAGCTCAGTGATGGGGTGCTTCTCTGGCATACACAGGGCTCTGTTCATCCCCAGCACCATAAAGAAATTTAAAAATAAAAGAACAAAGAAAAGTTAATAAACAGACAAAACAACCCACATTTCTACACAGAAACATGGAAGTGTAGAGTTGCTATTCTCATCCACGGAACATTAAGGGCTCTAGTTCATGAAACTTGCTTGATTTGGGACCAAAGATTGTTGTAGGGTTTTGTTGTGGTTGTTTGTTGCATCTTCTTATGAGGAAGCTGGTAATGATTATCCTTGTCCTCCCCTCTTTTGAACTAGCCAAGCTTGTAATAGGGAATTCTAATAATATAAAAAAACTTCTTGCCATTTTCCAATAGGTAAACCCGTGGTGTCTGGAAAATTCTGGGATGTAGTTGCAATAACAGCAGCCGATGAAAAGCAGGAGCTTGCTTACAAACAACAGTTGTCAGAGAAGCTGAAGAGAAAGGAATTGCCGCTTGGAGTTCAATATCATGTTTTCACTGATCCTGCTGGAACTAAAATTGGTATACATTTCATGAGATGTTTATAACATATTATGAGCAAAATAATAATTGAATAATTTCGGAGCTTTATAGTTTATAAACTGTTCATCTCCACACATGGCCTTTATAAACTTTAAAATCTGAATCTAACTAAATTAACTCCTCTTAACAAGATGAAAGTCAGAGCAAAGATTCTGAGCCACTGTGACTTAAAGGTAAATTTGTCCATATCACTATATAAAAGAATTTTTTTTCTTCAATACAATTATAGTAGACCTCATTGGAAGTTCTTTCCCAATCCAGTAGTTTCTTCAGACATTTACATGAGGAAAACAAGTCAAAAGATTTTTGTATATACTTGGTCTCTTGAAACCAAACTATGGAATACAGATGAACCATGTCCAGTTACATAAAGTAACTTAGAGTATTTACTTAAACCCTGGGTTAATTCAAACTTTGTCATCATTGTAAATAAATAAATTATATTTTACCTTTGATTCTGTATAGTGAGAATTGCAAATAATTTCAAATACTTTTTATAGTTATTGCTTAAAAGTATTTTGCTTTGAAATCCAGTATTCATCTTTAATTTACTTATTTATTTTCTGTGTTTCACTTGGAAGTAGTTTGATTTTTATGAACATTTATCCCTAAAATTGTGGCTCATATGGTAAGGAAAGTGAAAGCCTCTCAGTGCCAGGAAGAGAATGCAAGTATATGACACTGGTGTTATTCTGATGATGATGATCCACTGTTGGTTCAGTATATGACACTGGTGTTACTCTCATGATCCACTGTTGGTTCAGTATATGACACTGGTGTTATTCTGATGATGATCCACTGTTGGTTCATCCCTCACAGGAAGAAGGTCAGCACTTGTGTGATGTCCCTTCTGTAGAGAAGAATTATGTATACAGTATGTTAGTAATATTTAAAATACATTGTACAAACCAAGTTCTTGTGTTTAAAAAAACTTTAGCTTGTGTGTTGGGCTGTGTCTTTTGGAAGAAGTCATTAAGTAAGTTTTCTGGTTGACAAATGCAAATGATTCAGTGTGTGTCATAGATTATGTAATTTATCATTTCTTTACTATTCTTGAGAGATTATTACCTGCTGCTTTGCTATATTTCTTGATTAGCTGTTTGTTTCCTTATTTACTGTGACTGATCTGTTCTTCTGCCAATACCTTCTCAATCTGTCTATCTCATATTAACAAAATTCACATCTTCAAAATTATAACATTAAGTATATCATCTTAAGAAAATTTTCATAATTTTCTGTGAAGCAAATTGTGCTTTTGAATTGTTTTTCAGGAAATGGAGGATCAACACTTTTTTCTCTTCAGTGTCTGGAAAACCTCTATGGAGATAAATGGAATTCTTTCACAGTCCTGTTAATTCACTCTGGTAACTTCTTGGTTATTCATTTACATTTGCCCTCGAGTTTTCAACCTTTGACACCTTAGGGACTTTATCTCCCTTGCAAATGATTTCCCCTATAATTTATTTTGTTTTAAAATTCATAGATGGTATTTTACTTTGGAAATAAATGTTCTTGGCTTTGGGGGTTTGAAAATATGCTATTTTCAATGTGTAAGTTTTGATTTTCACAAAATTTTTTCTTAACATTGTAGCTTATATACATCATCTTTTATGGATATTTTATCATTTCATTTTTGGTTTGCAAATAGAAAATTATTTTTCACAAAACTTGAAAATGTGGGCATTTCTCAGGAGTCTGGAAGGAGAATTTTGTTACGAAAAAAAAATGGATGCTGATGAAAATGATGATTAGACATTTCTCAAAACATCTAGCTTGAATTTTTGTCTTAGTATTGATAGTCAAAAGCTACAATATTTAACGGTTTTAAAAAAGGAAAAATAACAAATTAAAGAGTTAACACATAAATATATATGTAAAAAGCATGTAGAATATTTCAAAAGAGAGAAATCAAAAGGATGTTGTCAGAATAGTGGGTGGGTTTTTTAATTCAATACATGTAATTATATTAAACATCTGGTTGCATAGAAACTTCTGTTGTTTCTCTCTTTAATTCTAGTAGGCTGGTGAAACTTTGGTCAAGGCCCAGCATTGGCCTGGGACATATAATTTAGAATTCCTTCTTCATGGCTTCAAAGACGCATTCTAATTCCAAGTTGTGTACACAGTCATATGACTCTTTGTACAGATGACATCATCATAGCACATCCAAGTCCTTCTTTAAACAAAAGTTAAGAATGTAGAAAATTTACTTTAGTCTTGTAAAATAAAGGTAAAATTAATTGGACATCAGAAAATAGATAGCAAGAAATATAGTGGCCCCTCTGAATCCTGTAGACTCAGACAATGATGGACAGAAAGTATTTAAGGGGTAATAAAAATATGTCTGTACTAAACATGTAGACTTTTCATAATTCCTGGAATATCATTGCATAACCACTGTTTATGTAGATATTACATTGTGTTAGATAAAGATAGTGTGGGGTACACACAAGTAAGTGCCATTTCAGGTCGGGGGTGGGGGTTTGTCCTTGGCTTTTGAAGTCTGTCTGGGCTTGTGAACCAGTTTCCACAGTTGTGAGGAGGGTCTTTTAGTGTAAACTTTACTATCATCTGGTCTTTGGAAGGTAAACAATTAGAATTAATTTTACCTCTTATTTCTTGAACAATGAATGTACTGTGTACAAAGTACTTTAAATGTTGCATTGTTCTCATTATACTGCAGCTGACTGCAGTAAATCTTCAAGTAAGTAGCTGAAGCATGCTAAGCCACAGGTGAGCTCATTTATCAGATCCTTTCCCAATACATAAGTCTGCATCGCACTATACACATTTTCTTTACATAAAAAGGATTCAAGACATTCAATGTGTTTAAGAGAACATATTTCAGAAATCAAGACATTATGATGTTCATCTTAGAAGGGAAAAGCCAATTTAAGTGAAAAAGTGGTATAATTAAAAAAATTGTTCTTAAGTAAATTTACATTTACTTTCTTAAGTATGTCTCACAAGTTGAAGACAGTGCATCGTAAAATGGATGTTTAACAGAGAAGTACATTTTGAAACTGTTTAACTGCATTAGTCTTTTACAACTTTTTCTAAGTACATCCCTAATTTATAACTTTAACCATGGTTGGAATGCATTGTTAGAAATGTTCATGGAGGATCAAGTTCTAAAATTGGTCCCTTTGTTAGTTACGCAATTGATAGAGAATACTTGATAGCCAGGCTCTGTGTGTCTTTCAATTATTTCCTGACCTAGAGTCTTTAAAATTGTATTATATCAAATTGCCATATGAGAAACACTCTTTGATGGTTTTAAAGTCTAGATTTCCTAATTCTACCCTTAATTTTGATTAGATACTTAGTATTAAATACCTTCAGAGGTATGTTATGCTATAACTGGTGCCACCAGATTTTGAAAATCTCTTCAAGAACATATTTTTAAATATTTTTACATTGTTTTTTAGGTGGCTACAGTCAACGGCTTCCCAATGCAAGTGCTTTAGGAAAAATCTTCACAGCTTTACCACTTGGTGAGCCCATTTATCAGATGTTGGAGTTAAAACTAGCCATGTACATGGATTTCCCCTCACACATGAAGCCTGGAGTTTTGGTCACCTGTGCAGATGATATTGAACTATACAGTATTGGGGACTCTGAGTATGTTGCATTTGACCAACCTGGCTTTACTGCCTTAGCCCATCCGTCTAGTCTGGCTGTAGGCACAACACATGGAGTATTTGTCTTGAACTCTGCCAGTTCCTCACAACATGGTGACCTTGAGTACAAGCAATGCCACCGTTTCCTCCATAAGCCCAGCATTGAAAAAATGCATCACTTTAATGCTGTGCATAGACGAGGAAGCTTTGGTCTACAGGACTTGTCTCGGGGTGACACAGCCAGTCTTCCATTGCACTCTGAGTATGTCTACACAGATAGCCTATTTTACATGGATCATAAATCAGCTAAAAAGCTACTTGACTTCTATGAAAGTGTAGGCCCACTGCACTGTGAAATAGATGCCTATGGTGACTTTCTGCAGGCACTGGGGCCTGGAGCAACTGCAGAGTACACCAGGAACACATCACATGTCACTAAAGAAGAGTCCCAGTTGTTGGACATGAGGCAGAAAATATTCCACCTCCTCAAGGGAACACCACTGAATGTTGTTGTTCTTAATAACTCCAGATTTTATCACATTGGAACAACGGAAGAATATCTGCTTCATTTCACTTCTGATAGTACATTAAGGTCAGAGTTGGGCTTGCAATCCAGTGCTTTCAGTGTCTTTCCAAATGTGCCTGAATACCCCCGTGAGACACCTTGTGTCATTCACAGTATACTGGATTCAGGATGCTATGTGGCCCCTGGCTCAGTTGTAGAGTATTCCAGATTGGGGCCTGAGGTGTCCATCGGGGAAAAGTGTATTATTAGTGGTTCTGTCATAGTGAAAGCTGTGCTGCCCCCATATTCTTTCATGTGTTCTTTAAGTCTGCAGATAAACGGACACTTAGAATACTCAACTATGGTGTTTGGCATGCAAGACAACTTGAAGAGCAGTGTTAAAACCATATCAGACCTAAAGAAGCTTGAGTTCTATGGAGTCTGTTTTCAGTCTTGTTTAGATATTTGGAACCTTAAAGCTACAGAGGAACTATTCTCAGGAAGTAAGACACATCTGAGCCTGTGGACTGCTCGAATTTTCCCTGTCTGTCCTTCTCTGAGTGAATCGGTTGCAGTATCCCTTGGGATGTTAAGTGCTGTACAGAGCCATTCACCATTCAGCCTGAGCAACTTTAAGCTCCTATCCATCCAGGAAATGCTTCTATACAAAGATGTACAAAACATGCTAGCTTATAGGGAGCAAATCTTTCTAGAAATTAGTTCAAATAAGAAACAATCTGATTCAGAGAAATCATAAGTACAATATATTTTGTCTATGAACAGGATTGCAAATGCAGGCATTTTCTGTAGACCTCTGACTTTTCTCTCTTTCCCCCCCCCCTCTTTCTTTCTTCTCCTTTTCCATTTTTTGGCTTGTTCAGTAAAGCAACATAATAAAAATTATATTAATATAACTACTGTAGCATAGTAATAACAAAGGTACAGAAGGCCACTTTGGATGGAAAAACATTTCAGCATCAAATTTGTGAAAGTGATGCTGTTTTAAATGTTTTCACATTATTATAGCTTTGTTTTTTTGGTAAATATCAATTTGTGGGGTACTGTTCCATTCACATAACAAATACTTCTGTTTTAGAGGATGATTTTCTAAACATACTTTTAGAATTTTTTTGTTTTTTTGAAATTTGGTCCAATAAAGCTCTGGGTGTTATTGATGATTGTATTACTTTACTTGTCACAATGAGAAAATACCTAATAAAAACATCCTTTTAAACTTTTTAAGAAAATTGTCTTTTTCTGTTAATTTTTTTATTTTGTTCTATTTTTATTTTATGTATATGAATGTATTATCTACATGTATGCATATGCACAGTGGCCATAGAGGCTAGAATACCTGTTCTCAAACTGAGTCAAGACCCCTTTGGGGATGGAATGACCTTTTCACAGGGTCACCTAAGACATCAGAAAACACAGATATTTATGTTATGATTCATAACAGTAGCAAAATTATAATTATGAAGTAGCAACAAAAATAATTTTATGGTTGGGGATCACCACAACATAAGGAACTGTATTAAAGGGCCATAGCATTAGGAAGGTTGAGAACCACTAGGCTAGAGGAAGGCATTATATCTCTTGGGACTGAATTTACAGGTGATTATGACCTCTTTGTGGGTTCTGGGAGTCAAAACTTCATGCTCTGAAAATGCTTTAAAATGATGTTTGTGTTTCACAGATCCTGGCAAATGTAATTTAAAAAAAATGTGTGTGTGTGTGTATTATTCTTATAAATTTGAACATGTGCTGCAATACTTTATATCTACTGTCCCATTACACTGGAAAACGTGTGCTGATAGAACTATGTTGTTTGCTCAGAAGGCATAGGAATAGTTGAAAGCCAGTGCTCACTTCACCATGGATGTTACTTAATCCACCCTTAATTATCCTTCAAAAGTTATGTTGACTTGACAATGAGTATTTTGCTTTTCATAATTCTGTCCATATTGATAATGATGCTGACAATAAACAGTTGGCCCAAGAGGAGGAAATTAGAATAGGGAATCTGAGATAATGCTTAGATCATAAACAACTTCAAGATAGTGAGACTTTGGTGAATTCCAGGGTATGTGCACCTATTTTGAAATAAACATATTAGTGAAATGTTTTTAGGTTTAATAGAGACAAGACTTGTCATAATTGTGTTTAAATTACCTTAGCTATACTAACAACTGCTGTGACAGTTTTGTTTATATATATTATAATAAAAATATATGATAAACGAGATATCTATCAAAACCCTTCTACTATATTATTTATAAATAAATATGTATTTGTCTTTTTTGAGGTTCCCAGGGATAAAGATGTATGATATTGTTTGACAATTACTGAATTGCTTACAGAGATTTCAATGGATGTTGAATGTTATTAAATGTTCATACTAATTTGACTTAAAGTTCTGCCAAGGATTAGAATCGTAATTTTATGTTCTCAGAAAAAAACATCATTAATAAAGAATACCAACACTTCCTTGGTTACTTGACATTTTTATATTTATTATAGATCTCTTGTAGGTACATTTAGACAGAAAATCCTATCATTTCTCTGTGCATATATACAGAAAGGAACAAATAACATGCAATATAGCAATATAATTAAGACATTTCTGCTTTTTAGAGTCAAGGTCAGACTCTATTAAAGCACTCAGACATCAGCTCATAATTATTGATAAACACTTGTCCCCCAAGCACCAGCCACTGTGACTTCAAAGGCATTGATAATGCTGCAGTTTAAGATTTTATTTATTCTTGAGAAATTCCTACATGTATACAATGAACTATGATCATAACTACCCTTCATGCCCCCAACTCTCCCATATCCCCCACCATATGTCCCTCCCAACTTCATGTCTTTTTTGTTCTAATAACCTACTTAATCCAGTTAGTGCTTCCCATGTGTACATGGGAGTGGGGCCATTCACTGGAATACTACACATCTATCGGTAGTCATATCCTCAAAAAATGAATAATTCTCCCTCCTCTAGAAACTATCAACTTCAAATTGCTTCCTGAATAGCTTTGTGTCCTAGAGCTTAACTACCTCCTCTGCTAAATTTCATTTGGCTTGATCTTGTGCAGGAAATCTCAAGTGCTGTGAGCCCATGTCAGTATCAGCCATGTCATGACCAGAAGACAGCATTTCTTCTCCATCCTTCTGCTCTTATATTTCCTGCTCCCTCTTATGTGATGCCCTCTGAGCCTTGGATGGGAAGGGGTTGAAATAAATATCTAATTTAGACCTGAGCACTCATTCTGTTATTCTCAGAAGCTTGACCAGTTACACATGTCCTTCCCACATATCAACATGACAGCAAAACTAGGAAACATACTGTTGTTCCAAACCTTGGTCCATATACATGAAAATTTCTGACTTCATGCCTCTATGTAATAAAGACAAGCCACCAGAGTCTGGTTGGAAAACACCAGATTTGCTCCTGGCAATATTATCTTTTATCTACATGAGCAAAAATAAGCCAAATTTAGCACATGGCTCAAACTTGCCAGTTTGGCTCTAGTTTGGCTGGCCACCATGGCAATTTAAAATAAAAGAAGAGTAAACTCTGCAGATTCCCCCACTGCATTAATATTTGCAAAATTAGAGCCAAAAGAGAAGGATGCACCATCTACTTGTGGAGCAGCATTGACACCTGTCTAAAGATGCTAATCAAGTGGCACCTGGGCACTGTTTCCTTTTGAGCTATTTGGGTCATGGTTTTGAAGACTCCGGTACAGGATGTCTAAGTCATTCAACATGAATTTTACCTCTCAAACAGTACTTTTCCAATTGCAGTAGCCTGATGCTGTCCCTCTGCTAGTGTCTTTCCTGGCCATCTGTGCTGTGATTATCCTTCGGCTGGGGTTTAGTGCAGTTCTGAAATGACCTAACTTTATGTCTTTTTGTTTAAAAAAGTAACCCAATAAGTCCAGTTTGTGCTGCCCATGTGTGCATGGTGTTGGGACCATCCAATGGAACACAAACCAGTGTCTCTAGTCGTCATGTGTGCATGGTGTGGGACCATCCACTGGAACACAGCCCAGTGTCTCTAATCTTCATGTGTGCGTGGTGTGGGACTGTCCACTGGGACACAGCCCAGTGTCTCTTGTCTTCAGGCCCTTTCATACATGGTGTTTCTGATCTGTTTGCTGACTCTTCGGACTCTTTCAAGGCTTTCAAAATCTTGACTGCAACAAACATTTTGTGGCTAAGTCAGTGCATGTAACTTTTTTGTTTTTAGTTCAACAGCATCCACTCTTCTACAGAGTGTTTGAGTGGTTCTGGTTTGTTTTAATTTATCATTCCTTTGCCCAGAAAAGAATTAAAGAGTTTAAATCTTGAGGCAAAAATCTTTTAAAACAGCTCTGTTAAAATCAACTTTCCATTCAATTGCAGGTTGGAGAATGCTGTGCAGCTCAATGAAGTTTTACATGAGTGGCTTTCGTCCTACTGCTTGTAGCCTTGGGGTCTGGGAAAGTAAATTATAGCCACAAATACACTTTTTTTCAGAAGGGTTTCAAGGTAGTTGTAGTAAAACCTAAAACCTGGAAAACTTCAAAAGTATGATTATGTTTATGGTCTAAATGCAAATTTCAATTCACTGCCTTACTGACAAAGTCATAAATTAACTTACAATTTTTCTAATTGCACATCACTAGAGTCATCTTATTAAATTTCAAGATGTGATTATAATTGGTTAAAGTTGGTTGAACTTCTAATGACCTAAAATCTAGTCCAGTGAAGAACTGTTAGCAGAAGCTGCTCTGTGGAGACAGAAGAAGAAAAACAGAAATGTGGTGACATTTTTTTCCTCTTGTTACAATTGGTGCCCAGTTGCACCAAAAATGGATACCATGGGCTCAACAATAGAAGTACTTACATTATTTGGACATCCAGTTCCCAAATAATGACACAGAGACTTCTTATTAAGTATGAAAGCTTGCTCTTAGCTTAGGCTTGTTCCCAACTAGATCTTAAAACTTAAAATAATCCATTTATTTAATCTATATTCTGCCACATAGCTCATTACATGTCTTGGTACTATACATCTGACTTCCTCAGTGTCTGGCTGGAGAATCCCCTGCCTCTCAGTCTCTCCCCACTCTCTCCCCAGGAGTCCCTCTGATCTTTTCCTGCCCAGCTATTAGCCATTCATTTCTTTATTAAACCAATCAGAAAGTTCCTTAGACAGGCAAGGAAGGACAAAAACATATCTTCACACAATGCAATCAAATATCCTACAACATTTCCCTCTTTTTATCTAAATAAAAAAAATGTTTTAACTCTAACACAGTACAAGTATATACAATAAGAATAATTATCAAGTAAGAAAAACAGTCACAATTTCCAGTCCATTTGAATTGGGCAACTTCAGAGAAAGTACTCTATTATCTATCCTATCTTGGTGAGTCCAGAATTTTGCACCTAAATCACTTTCTATCATAACTTTTAGTACCAACCTAAAAATATCTTTTTAGAACTTAAGGCATTTTCTTAGATAACTTAATCTTTAATGTCTCTCAACCTTTATAAACTTTACATCTCCTTTGTGAATTTCTCTTTTGAATTCTGCAACAAAAAAAGTGATAAAACTATAACTATCCAGTCTTCGATTATATCAGAGACCTGAGAAGGATAAAATATTACCTGAGTAATCAGGAAATGCAGACTAAACAACTTCCAAAACTACAGAAATAACAGAGACACCTGACTGCCTGGACATTCGTCCAAGATTCCTCTGCAGTATTGGGGCATCCATCTTTGGCCTATAGGCCTAGAATATCTGACAGACTTTTCTGTAAAGCAGGAATTTTGAAGGACTGGCCTACTTTGTCTTGACAAAGTTTAGCAATCACCTTCTTTATACACTTGTCTAATTGGGAAAACATAGTGTCGGCAGTTAAGGCAAGGGCAGTTTCTTGCCTGGTGACTAATTTTGCCACACTGAAACCAAACTCCATATAAGGGTTCTTCAATGACTATCATCCTTTTTTGACCTACATTTGTGCTTCCAGGATCAGATGTATCTCACTGTCATGAAAAGCCTTATGTTATTAAGCCATCTTAAATGCCATATTCTATAGATCTGTGAAGTGTTTGAAGACCATATATCTTTCTAAAATATATGTCTGTTTAACCTTGAAAGCATACCTAACATGACCAGAATTTTGATTGTTATAGATGAATAACTACTAACCTGCCTTTTTTAATTATCCTAAACAGTTTGTAATAATAACTTTCAAGGACTAGGACTTAACATTTTTAAGTGAGTTGCATAGATACAATACCTAAAACAATAGAAACATATGTACAGTATGTTATAACAAAAATAACCTTAAATTTATATCAATATATAAAAACCCATACCAATGTAAAATATTTGAGACCTTGCTTTTTAGTTTAAAAGTAGATTCAGTAGTCTACTTTTTTATATTATTCACATACCTGCTTTTTTTAAGTAGATAGGAGAAAATGAAAGATAGAGGGAAGAAAAGGAGAGAGAGAAGAGAGGAAGGAAGGAAGGAAGAAAGAAAGAAGGAAAGAAAGAAACAAACAAAGAAAGAGAAAGAGAAAAAGAGAAAGAAAGAAAGAAAGAGAGAGAGAGAGAGAGAGAGAGAAAGAAAGAAAGAAAGAAAGAGAGAGAGAGAGAGAGAGAGAGAGAGAGAGAGAGAGAGAAAGAAAGAAAGAAAGAAAAGAAAAGAAAAGAAAGAAACCACTAAATGACCAATAACCATCCACCCCACTTCATGGGAATGTGGGCATTATGTTTTTAAAATTACTTCCTGTTGTCTGGGGGTGGGGCAGCATCCTCAGAGGACCCTGAAAAATTTGGAATAATTGTCAAGGGAGAGCTAGCTGTATCATTTGGTATCTAATCTGTGTGTAATGAGAAAGTGTAGGACTTAACTGAAGTCCTGACTGGAGTAGTCAGTGGGGGCTGGAGCATCTTAATTAATGACTTTGAAGTTGTTCTGGATGCAGATTTTTGAGGAAACTGCAGCAAAGGTATTCTGAGAAGCTGGATCAACTGGGCTACTTGTCTTAATTGTTGTCTGGTTCCTTTTTTCTGGAAACACACAAATTTTAAAGGAAATAGGTCTGTATTAACACAAATTCGGAGTGTGCAATGTGCACAAATCAACTGATGATCCTTGAGAATTCTAGGCAAATGTCATGACAGGCTCCAAATAACTCAGCAAAGAATTAGGCTTCAGTTTCTGCTTCTTGAAATTGAGCAGGTCCTTTCTGAGGAAGATGCAAACAAAATAAATCTTTGACACCCCTGACAGCAACTCACAGGCCTGAGCCAGCCCTCCCCCACAGCCTCACAGGAGCCCAAGTTAACAACCAAATAAGGACAGAGCCTGGGACTTGTCTGTGACTGCTCCAAAATGGAAAAGCTACAGTCCGAGCCAGGCCTTGCTAGCCCTAGTCAATCAGGAATGTACTAACATAACTGCTACTTGCTTAAGCC